ACAAGTTTCAACGCCAGGCGCCCTTTGAACACCTGACAGTGTCAGCACCTACAAGCCAGGTGAGGGGGCAGGCCTGCAGCCCCAGATACTTGAGAGTCAGGCAGGAGAATCATTTTGCCCAGGAGTTCAGGGCCAGCCTGTGCGGTGTAGCAAGACCCTGTGTTTAATGAAAAAAGAAAAAAAAATGGAGGCACCCACTACATGTAAGGCATCCTAGGAAGTTCCACAAAATTCACAAAGATGGGTAGGATTGAAGGGCAGTGCTGCCTCCAAGCCATGGTGCCTTCCAGCCTTCTCTCTGTCCCATAACTTTGGAGAGGGCATGAACTCACTGGCCCAGCCCTGAATATGACAAAGTCAAGTTATTCTAAGTTGCCTTCTTAAGGTAGTCAGGGTTTAGGGCAGTGAGTCATGTTAGATGCAGGTAAATACTTTGAGACTTAAATAATTGACCTGCAAGATAGCCTAGAGTTGCGGATAGTCCTTTTGTGCTCTTCATATTAAGTGTTGAGGGAACACTAACCTGCCCTTTTAGTGAATGAAAAGTATCTGTTTCAGAAGTGTCTGACATTTTGACCTTTATTATGTGTTTTTTAAATTGAATGGTTGAATGACTGCCCTGACATTCAACAAATCTGTAAAGTTGGCATAACAGTTGTTACTTTTGTTCCCTCTTAGGTGAGTGATGCACAGAGATAAAACTGAGATTGTGTGACTTATCCAGAAACTTAACAAATATGTCTGTGATTACGCCAATCCAGGGTTCTCTGCACTACGCATTACCATCACTTTTGGCTACTTAGCCTCAGATATATACATATTGGATGTAGTTAAGGATAGGATTAATTTCAGAGTGATAACGGTGGCTATGATTTGATTTCTCATGGTAGCTGGTTAAATGTTACCAAGGGGTTACAAACCTTTGATCCTAAAATTCCCGGATTGGGAATCCCCAGTTCCCAATCACGACTCATCAGTCACGATTCTTACTAAGTTAACCATGTTCCAGCTCAAATGCACTCTGCTGTCTGAACCTCCATGGTTCACACTCTGCAGACACAGTGTGCCCCCCATCCCACACTAGATAAACATTTTCCTGAAAAGTGGAACCTTGTCTCGCATTTCTGGCATAGCAAAATGATGAATGAATGCTCGAGACAGAGCCCTGCATGCCCCAGCATAAGAATCTTCCGGCACACTGATCATTCACCGTTGTCCTGAAGTCATACTGCACTGCCAGCTGTCAGAGTTCTGAGCCTGGAAAAAGCCAAGAAGGACTTGGAAGTCTGCATAGGCACTGCATTTAACTGTCAGTACTGAAGTCTGTTAATTCTTTCTCCTTTGCTTTACATAATTACATACATTTTTTAAATCCCCATCATTTAAATCATAGTTTTCTTCTATCCCTAGAAATTGTCAATTGGGATTCGATATTATGAGCTAGCCCCAGAATCACTTTGTGAGCACTGTCTTTTTTTTTATTAGACTTCCTTTTTTTTTTTTTTAATAGTTTGATGTGCAGTAAAACTGAGCAGAAGGTACAGAGTTCCCAGTATACCCAGCTCTCACTCATGTACAGTCCCCCCAATTCCTCCCCACAGAATGGTAAACCTCTACATACAGTTCATGGCCCTGCATTGACATGTCCTTGTCACTTGGGGTCCATAGTGCATTAATGTGCTCTTGTGGGTTGGGTGTGTAATCCATTTTTATCCTATTTCTTTTACTTCATTGAGGATTTTACAGCTACATTAAAGAGGCAACTCAGCTTTTTACTCATAGCAGTTAAACATTAGAAACCATGAAAAGTCTTAGAGCAGGATCCCAGATCCCCAAGCACCTTAAATGCTGAGTGCTCAAGGAAGAGCAGGGTGCTCACTCCTTGGTTTCCCCAGATCTCAGCATTGCTGGTTCTATTCGCACTGCCTGTCACCCAGGCGTGCAACTTGCATGACCCCAGTTGACTTTTGGACTTTCTGAATAAGGTCAAGTGAATGTGCCCTGGTTAGGGCTTCTGTGGACTTTGTCCTAAGCCTTCCTGGAGTGCATCCAGGTCACTGTGTGGCCCATCTATCCAGGTCCTTTGTTTACTGATTCGCTTTAGAACAAGTGGCATCTGTGCACTTCAGTGATGCTAACCCTGTGTGATTTACAGGACGGAGGGTCTACAGAAGGAGCATGGGATGAGGAAGTGAGCCAGGCTCTGGTTCCGTTATTGCCATCTGTTTGTTAAGAGAGATGATTTGGGGTGATTTTTGCCAAGTCTCTTAACTCCCCTGGACCGTTGGCTCCGCACTGAGGTGAGAGATTCAGTTGATGGTCAGTGAGCTCAAGGTCAGCCTGCTTCTTTCCCAAAAAGTCCCCTGAGGGATTTATTAGAGCTTTGCTAGAAAATGTGGTCAACAGATGAGGTTTGTGGAGAGCTTGGTCTCCTGGAGGGCTGGGATTATTGGAGGTATAAGCACCTAGAAGACTGACTTTGCCATTGCAGTATATCCAGCATGAGATCCGAAGGATGTGGGCAGTATGGGGTCTGTTTCCTGGGATATCTGAAATCAGACAAGATTTCTTTTCTCTCCCTTCAGGATTTTTAATCCCTTTAAATGTAAGTTCAGAGTCAGTTTCAAGTGTCCTTGCACCACTTTGAAAATTTTAGTGGGGCCAAGGTCAAGTTACTATCTGTGTTGTGCTTTCCAAGATAGCACATCCAGTACATGGAGAAGGACGTGAACATGGCCTGTGTTAATCTGAATCAGAAGCATCAGTGTGTCGGTCTTGGTTCCCAAGCGGCACTGCTGTGGTGGAGTCATCTAATGTGGATTTACGGGATTCCTTGGACCACAAGTTATCGACCTTCGTGGGCTTACTCCAAGAAAGGAATTATAGTTGTTTTAATAATTAAGGAGTTTGTAGGAAAAGGACTTGAGACTGTTCTTGATGTCAGCGATCACAAAACCCAAAATGTTAACCTGTGGGAAAGGGAAGGTGAGCGGCTCTGAGGGAGCAGCTTCATTACAGCAGGAAGAGCCTCCCTCTGGTCCTCGATTGTTCTTTGGTAAAGTGTTTTTCTGTTGACTCCGGAGGCCCCCAGGGTGTGTGGGTTGGTGGCTTTAGTGGAGATGAATCCAGCTCTGCAGGGTCTTTCCTGGGCTTTGGGCTCCAGAGTCACTCAGGTGGCTCCCTTGGAAGGAGTAGAGGCTTCAGCTGGAGAGTGGGCGCTCCGTGCTGCCGCCTCCTGGTACAGCACCCTGAGTGTCCAGCTCAGCCCCGCCAGCGCCTGCCCCTGGGCCTGACCTGTGGGTGCGGGGCTTTCTGTTTTCTCCAGAGACATTTCCAGAGTCCCACTTGGTTGAGGACTTAGTTGTCTTCAAGATCAAATTCCAGTGAAACAGTTGAATCCCCCCAGGCTGCAGGAAGGTCTGGGCAGTGGGAGATACTTGAGGGCGGTTAGCGTGTAGATCACAGGAAGGCCTCGCCATGGGCAGTTTGGACATGGAAACCGTGGTGGAGGGAGGCATGGCTACTGGAATGGGGGTAGGTGCTGTCAGACTCTGTTGGCATCCCACCTGGCCACCCCTGCTGTTGTGACCACCAGCTGTGCTGGACACAGCTAGGCAGCCCTTCTGGGCAGGCTTCCCTGCTGTGGTCTGCATAGTACTCCCTGTGCATCCTGGGACACTCTGTGCCTAGCTCCACTAAGCAAGAATTAGGTGGGAAGGTTCGTGGAGGGTGGGGGTGCAGCTCATGTGATTTGGAGTAGTACCCCCTCTGAGCCCTAGTCTCTGCCTCCCTTCCAGCTCAGGGCTTCTGAGTGACTCTTCTTCACATACCAAAATAGGCAGATCTTAACAGCCAAGAACTTCAGAGGAGAGGGCAGGAGACAACTCTTCTCTGCTAAAGGAAAAGCTGGCTGGTCGTCCTGATGGCGTCATCCAAGGAAGCACAGAAGGACGGAGCTAGCCTGGCTTGGGCGCTGCTTGGTGCCCCGGCAGCTACACTTCCCGCCTGGCCTGGTTATAGTGAGGCAGAGGAGGTTCTCCTGGCCACCTGCCCGTGGTTGGCTCCGGCTGGAACAGCTGTGGTGGTAGAAGCAGGTAGTGGAGACTTGTAACCTTCCACCTAGATTCCAGCTCTGCGTCCAGCATCACATGTTGTCGCTGTCAGCTGCCCAGAATAGAGTGGAGAGCCCTCAGAGGAGGAATTTCCACCAGCCAAGCTATTTCTTTCATAATTAATTTCAAAACCAGGGTTTTCCAGCTTTTTCCTGTCACAGATATACCGGAAATCTAATACATCTTCCCCGAGCTCAACCAGCTGCCTCCTGACCGTTCAGCAAAGATGCTGGGGTCCTGAGCCTCAGGAAGCTATATGAGATTTTATTAATATGTGGGCATTTTGAGGAGGGGTCTCTGATTTTTAACACATACTTAAGAGTATGAAAGGACCCCAGGAGAATTAAGAACTATTGTAGTCAGTTTTATAAAGAGCCGTTGAGCTAGCAAACTATCTCTTGCCTCCCAGCCTGCTCCTTCCGAATCACCTTTCCTTTCTTCTCTGGCAGAGCTCACAGCTGAGTAGAGGAGATTATGTTATGGAATCTAGAGTTACAAGGAATTGCAAGGAGGAGCCGGCCCCACCGCCATCTAATGCCTGAATCCCCCCTGGAGCAGACTCACCCAGCTAGAGCCCTCCTGTGCAGTTGCTCCAGGGCTGAGAGCCCTTTGCCAGGAAGGACAGCCTTCCTTATGGTGAAGACAGTCCAGATCTGCTGTCCGTGACTGCTGCTGCTTGGTCCTAGATTAGCCCCCTCCCACCCTTGTGGGGTCACAGAACAAGCCCAGCCTCCTCTGGGTCCTAGTACTTAAAAAAACAGACTTCCTATTCTTCTGAAAAATCATGAGCCACCAGCCATGCCTGCAGCTTTTGCTCAGGTGACAAAGTTCTGAGGCCTTTCATCTTGTAACAGAATTATTGTGCAATGGTGCTGTGAAGTTCCATGACGGTTACAAGACTGGTCTTAGACAACGTCTATCACTTTCTTGTGAACTCTGTACAAAGTTTTGAAAGATAATTTGGACCAGATGCACTAAGATACTCTGTCATTTAATAATAGTGTTCAGTGTGCCTGTGAGTAGCAGAGATCAAAGTAACAGTTTGAATAATAGAGAAGTTACTTTTTCAGGTCCAAGTCTAGGGACAGCTGATCTGCTCTGTGGTGTATTCAGTGAACCTCCACTTCAGTCTTGTTGCTTTGCCCTGAAGACCCATCGCCAGTGTCACCTCATGGTCCAGTATGGCTGCTCCCACACCAGCTACCACAGAGGAATGAACAAGGGAAAGGATAGACAAAGGACATGCTCCTGCCATCTCAGTGTTCCCCAGCCTACTGCAGGACTTGGCCAGAGCTCATTCACATGGCCGCCCCTGGTGCTGTGCAGTCTATTCTGGACAGACACGGATGTGCCTAGCTAAAAATGTGGCCTCTGTTAATTTGGAAGATGGAGAAAGCAACTGCTGTGAAATAATAAGCTGTGTGGGCCACTGTTGGCACCCTCTTCACTGTGGCAGGCAGAAGCCTTCTACAGTTACATGTCCAGCCCTGGTCACTTTAGGCCACACTGAACTCAGATCCTGCTCCAGCCCATGTGTCTCTTCTTCTGTTCTTGCTTGAAGGGTTTCAGTGCAAAGAGATCTTTGATGTCAACTCAAATCATTTTGGAAGTAGAACTGATATAAATAAATGAAGCAAAATTAGAAGAATTTCATCAAATCTAAAATACTCTATCAAATACACTGTTACTTTGTTTTTCTCTATTTATTCTAGTCATTTATACATGACAGCAGAATGCTCTTTGATTCATTGTTCATAAATAGAGCACAATTTTTCTCTGGTTGTATACAAAGTAGGGTCATAGCATTTGTGCCATACATGTACCTAGGGTAATGTCCGTCACATGCCACCATCTTTCCTATCCCCATACCTGCCCCCTTTGCCCAATCCAAAGTTCCTCCATCCATCCAATGCCCCACCCCCCATTATAGATTAGCATCCTGTTATCAGAGAAAACATTTGGCTTTTGGTTTTTGGGCTGGCTTACTTAACATGATATTCTCCAACTCCATTTACCTGCCAACATCATAATTTTATTCTCTTTTATTGCTGAGTAATATTCCATTGTGTCTATATGCCACAGTTTCTTTCAGATACACTGTTATTGTAAATCCCACTAAGGTGGAGAAAAATGCTGGCAGGTAAACAGTGACCCAGCACCTTTTGAAAGGTGTTCAGATCTGAAGGTGTGTGTCTCCAGGTGATGAAATAGCATCCCTGGACCAAGTACTTGTTCCTCTCAGAAAACAAGGTATTGCACTCTTCCCTGCCATAGAATGTTCTGGAGGGCGCAGGCTCTGTGAAACCTGTTAGTGTTTGTCCTGTTTTATATACTTAGTTGTGTTCTCTGTGATGAACAAATCGCAGTGTTTTATCACTGCGGCCAGCGTGGTTCAAAGTGAAGGTTTGCATCCGGGGGTCTCGGTTGTCTTCTGCAGAGGGAACTGGGGCTGCCTTGGCTGGAGATGGGAGTTGCACAGAGGTATTGCAGACGAGGCTGCCCAGGGCATCGCCTGGCACTGTCCTCCATCGTGCATGATCAGCTTCATTCACTGTGCTGACAGGGACACAGAGATGGGCTCCTTCTGCTGTCCCCTGAGGACCCACTGCCTTCTCCTTTCAGGAAATGAATGGGGTACTGAAAGGCATGCTCTCGGAGTGGTTCTCCTCAGGGTTCCTGAGCCTTGAACGGGTCACCTGGCATTCGCCGTGTGAGGTGCTGCAGAGAATCAGTGAGTGAGTATGAGCCGCTTCTCAGACTGCCGCTGAGCCTGGGTGCATTCCTCTGTGTCCTGTTTGATCCCACAAGATTCCACACGGTGTTCACGGGGGTCATGGCTGTCACTGCATGTGGGGGAGGGGCAGAGCACAGAAAAATTCATTAGTCCTCAGTAACCTGGGTCTTGTTTACATCCTCGTGTTTAAAGCCAACAGGCCCATTCATGGCTTCTCAAGACCCTGTTATCAGAGTCGTGCAAACTCTGGACCAAGTGGTTGTGTTAGTAATCCAAACAGCACGCACCCAGTTGTTAAGTCCCCCTGGGATAGAACCTTTTGGTAAACTACAACATGCATGGTCACAGTGTGTCCAGGACAGTGTCACTCAGTCCTGTGTCATGTCCTGCCTGCATTCCATGCTCCCATGGAATCTCAGGCTCAGAAAGGGTCCTGCTGTTGAAGCCTAAGTGACTACAGTCCCTGCTGTGGTTCACATGCCAAAAACAGTCATGGAGAGGCTGGGAGACAGGGCCGAGGGGCACAGCACAGGCAGCCGCTTCAGACTGCGGGGTCCCCAGGACAGAGAGCTGCACAGCAAAGCAGCAGTTAGATTCTGTGTTGAAACCTGCTGTAAAAATGCCTCCAAGAGCCTCACTCACTCCTCTCAAGATTGGAGTTAAGATTCAGCACACAGGGCTGGGGATGTGGCTCAAGCGGTAGCGTGCTTGCCTGGCATGCGGGCGGCCCGGGTTCGATCCCCAGCACCACATACAAACAAAGATGTTATGTCTGCCGAAAACTAAAAAATAAATATTAAAAAAATTCTCTCCTCTCTCTCTCTCTCTCTCTCTCTCAAAAAAAAAAAAGATTCAGCACACAATTTTGTATGTAAAGTGGTCATTGATGATAGTTCTCGGTGCTGTTTCACATTAAAATGTTTGTCTTTAGATTTTTCAGGAGTCGGTTAGAGCTCTATTGAAAGAGCTTGGGTAACATGAATAGCAATCAGCAATTACTGTTTAATGTGAAAATTGGACACTCATTTCATCCCTGTTGTCCGTTGTCAGGGCTGAGGCTGTGCACCCTGTAAAGAACTGGATGGACATGAAGCGGCGCGTCGGGCCCTACAGAAGGTGCTACTTCTTTTCTCACTGTTCAACCCCGGAAGAGCCTCTCATCGTCTTGCATGTGGCACTGACCAGTGACATCTCCAACAACATCCAGGTACCTGCAGTTGGTCACTTGTGGACAAGATAAGCATCCTACAAAGTTCCTTAAGGTTTTTGTGTGTTTCCTTTTTTACTTTGGTTGGATCCTTTATTTCAAGAATAATTTGTTTGAACTTTTGGGGACTTTGTAATTGGGTGGACGCAGTCTCCAGGGGTGTGTTGCAGGGTGCAGGAGTGAGCAAGGCAGGTCCAGCTCAGGGAGAGTGCTCACTGGCTATGATGACTTTGAATTAAGAAGTGGAAACTTACAGGGTGATTCTGTGAGGCAGAAACGGGTGAGGGGTGGAGAGGTAGAGGACAGACGTGTGGTTGAGCTCTTCAGCCTTGGGTAAGGGCCGGTGGGGAAGTGAACGGTGGTGCCGTCTGCCTGACGTGGGCCCAGGTGCTGCTGGAGAGTGGCAGGTGTGGGAATGGAGTTTGCTTCCACTTCCACATCATGAGGCACGCTGGGCTTCTGGAGGGGTTTGGCAAGAACTTCTGAAACAGGGCCCGTGGGGCAAGAGACCAGTGACTGCACTGCAGGGTCTGGAGGTGGGGAAGGAGGGGAAGGGAGTGTGAGAGCCCGGGCTTCCACAGGAAGGTGCAGTGAGGTGGGGAATAGCCTGCTGGGAAGAGGAATGGATGGAAGCAGACTCTGCACACAGGCAGTTTCCTAGTCTAAGAAGTCAGAAGCTGAGTAGGGCAGCCAGGCACCTGTACTTGACTGGCAGGAGGAAATCCTGCAGGACTTTGTGCTTGAGGGAGTCGGGAGGCTCCTGCACTCTTGGTGAAGCTGAGCATTCCAGGTCCCCTCTGGGGATGTTTTAGCACCGGTATTAAAGTGTCAAATGTACCCTTCTGCCTGAAAATTCCACTCTAAGGGACCTGAGAGTCTGGGTAGCTGCTCATGTACCACTGTTCGTAGCTGTGGAAGGCCAGCAATGGCAAGTAACTGCCCTTCAATGAGGGGTGGCCAGAGAGCAGTGTGTGTGTGGTGGGCTTGCCTGGCATGGGCGAGGCCCAGGTTCCATCCCACAGAAGATGGTATGTAAACATAGTATATGCATACACACTGGATTTCTATGCAAGTGTGTAAATGTTGGTGTAGGTTTCTGTTTCACCTGGAAAGCCAGCCTGGACTTAGACTTGAGTAAAATGTTCAGGTTGCAGAAGAGGATGTGGAACGTGGTCCCCTTTATAATATTCACAACACCTCTTGAGCACGTCCCCTGTGCCCGTCCACCCATGAAACATGTTCCATGTGTTATTGCTCAGAACACTGAGTTAGGTCTTATTATTATGGGCCTCACTTTAGACATAAGAAATGGAAGTTTAGGGAACATCAGTAATGTACCCACAGTGACAGAGCAAGAAGGGGCCAAAGAGGGATTCAGACACAGCCCTGACCTGACCCCAGGGAGAAGCGCCTCCCATACTCCAGGCCAAACACCCCGACTTCAAGAATCAAACGACCTGGAAGAAGTTAAATGGCTTCAGTGTATTCCTCAAAAGCAAGCTGGTGTGCCCGCTTCAAAGCAAAACAAAAGGCAGCTGCCACCTGCTGTTCCACTTTACCAGGTGACCTTCAGGCTGTTAGGGGTCAAAAAACCCTGCAATTAAAAATGAGATCTACTGGGTGGCCACACCTACAGTCCCAGCTGCCCCGAGGCTGAGGCAGGAAGATCAGAAGCCCAGGCTCAGCAACTTAGCAAGACACTGTCTCAAAATTTAAGATAAAATAAGAACTGGGGATGT